GAAAGGTCGAAAGAATCGTGCTTCTTCTCGTACCTTCTGATCGAAAATCCATCCAAAAGGCCCAGAGCTAGCCCTTGGAAAAAATTGAAGTCACACAGTTTTTGAACGGTCAAAATGCATGGCAAGATTAATGGATGCTAGTCAGAAAACATGACACTGATTTCCTCATTTTGATTGTGTATTAACTTGATATAAGCTTAATTACCAATATAATAATGGGGTTTTTATAGTTTTCCATTGCTTTTAACTTCCTATAAGCAACCACTTGATACTTTGTGTTGTCTCTTTGTTCACTGTCTGTACTACGTCACTCAGAGTATACAAGAGCTTTTAGTGACAACATGGATCAATGGAACAGTGACAATATGTAACTTAGAAATTGCCCACAATGAATTTTCTGCCAAAAAGTAGATAAGTCAGGACCTCTTCTAGGAAGAGCCCCCCGTAGCTCAATATTGTCATAAGGGACCACCTCCCTACATAAGCAACCATTAAATCTTTGCATTTTGGGTGCTCTCTTGTGGGAGGTTCAACTGTATTATTAAATATACAGGGCCAGTGCTGTTGCAAATGTTCATTTTTTCTTGTAATGTGGCTTCATTAATCTTCAGGTTAAGTCACCTTGGTGTAACAGATAATCAGAAAAGGTGGCTTGTGGTGGGAATAGCACTCAACAAGATCCTTGTGCCACAGATCCGTCCTTTTGTGGAACAAGAGGTTGATAAAGAATACAACAATCTCAAGACAAACCACAGTATTCACACACAAAGTACATCTGGTCGTCTTCAAAGGTGGCCTGCAAGAATTTTAAACTATGAGAACATCAATGGTAACAGTCTTCACACAAAGCTTCCTGGTGGAAAATACAACTTTTCCTTGTTTGATTGTAGAGTGTTATCTCACGTTGACTTTGCCAAGTTGTATGTTAGAAACTACATGGCCAAGTTCAGTGCCTTTGATGACAGTTGCGATGCATCAGCTGTGCTAACATTGCTTGGTGGTGTGCCTGTGTTCTTACCTGTCGTTCAAGCTGCAGCTGGTGATGTCATGAATATCAGAAATGACTGGGCGCACTGTGTCTTCAGTAAGTGGGATCCTTTTAAGTTTCAGCAGAGTTTCATTGAGATGGAACACCTGGTGAGAGTCATGGCTCTACCTGCTGCAGATGAAGCAAAACTCTTTGACGAACTGAAAGATTGGGAGACTAAGGGTACTAAACTTTACATAGATAAAATTAATGAAACATATTACCAGTATGTTTTAGTGTAATTTGTATTGTCAACCCTACTGAGATGAAATTTGCTGTTTAGCAGTCAAGTTACTCATTAATCATTTATGCCTATTCAGGAACACAATTACCTGTAGGCCGGTATGAACATGCCCACCTGAAAAAAAAAATAGTCTTCTCCCACAAAGAAAAGAAGGCTAATGCTAGCTACCATAAAATTCTGAAAATAAGCCCCTCCATGTATAAGCCCCTCCAAATTAATATAAGCCCCCCAAACTGGTAACGCAAAAAACCCTGCATTAAATCGCCCCTCCAAATACAAGCTCCCCGGAAGCTTGTACTTGGAAAATTGCCATCAAATACAAAGTAAAACAAAGTAAAACAGTGAATTTACTTCCAACTATAAGGCTATCTCAATCTATTTTGAAACGCAAATTTCCCTCGTAGATAAGCCCCTCCAAATATAAGCCACTCAAAAAGGGCCTTTGAAAAATATAAGCCCAGGGGCTTATTTTCGAATTTTACGGTATTTTCAGCAGAGATGATGTCTTACTCTACCATCTAAAATTATGTTCAAAGGTTGCCTGGAAACAAGAGCTGATATTTCTCTGTCAATTAGTAAATCAGTGGCTCAGTAAAATACTGCTTCAGTAATACTTTAGAAAAAGTCAGAAGTTTGGTTGTTCTTTCCAAATTTGTTGTAAGGAATGATCACCCCAAGTTTGAACAGGGTTTTTATGTGGCCTGGACCCAACAACAATATTGATACTTCTAAGAAACTGGCTGTTGCTATTTTAAGTTGACATTATACTGTTTAGGCACTGATAACTTGTCTTTACGGCTTTTTGTTAACAGGCACTCTGCTGTGCATGAACTCCCCGGTAGACCCCGCATTGCTTCATCTTGTCCAGCAAGAAGTCAAATTTCTACAAGATCATGTGAACAACCTGTCTGTAGAATTTGACCAAGATAAGATGGAAGTTCAGCAAGAGCTGCAAAACACTGCCGTAATTCTTAAAGAGATGAAACAGATGGTGGAAAGACTGAAAATTTTTCAAGGTAATCTTGCTTGACCCCTCCTCACTCATTTTCATGATACTCATTCCATTATTGCAACACAAAAATATTTCCTAGTTAATGGTTTGTAGCGTTTTGTTTACCTGTCAGATCATTTATAAATTTTATGCATTATGTTTTGTCATGTAGCAGATGCAGATCAGAGGTTTGGACAAGTCAAAGACCAAGTGCACAGTCTTAAAAGTAATTTCAAGATATTTGTATTTCTACTCCTGTCATTAATGAAACCCCTTCCTCATTAATACATGGCGCTGATGTTGTGGAATTACATGTTGGTTTTGGCAACAAATTTCCAGCTTTCTTATGAAGACACGTGTGGTACTGTTGTGTTAGAGATCATAAAGGGCCGCGCCTTTATGAATGAGAGCTTCGACATTCAAATTGTATGTTAAAAGCGCAAGGCTTGATTTCTACAAATAGTCTTTTTTTATTAGAATAGTTTCAAAATGGAACGATTTACCACGAGACATAGCAGAGGCTAAAAGCCTTCATCATTTACATAAGCTTCATCGTTATCTATTTAATAAATGTGAAACTAGAACCATGCCTTAATTAAGGCCTTGATTTTTGAATAGTTGTATTGTATTTGATTTTTTTTTTAGCATTTTCTATTTCTGTTTGGGAGTTTTAATATAGGGCTAACCTCTCAACTCCCTTTTCAAGATGTCTTTTAATATTATGTTTTTCCTGTAAATAAGCTTGTTTGAATCTTGACTAACGTCAGTATGTTATGTTATGTTAAATTGTATTCATTTTTGTGCATTTTAGAGGATGCAGATCAAAGGTTTGGAAGTCTAGAGACTCGCACCAGACAAGTTGAAGACCATGTGCACAGTCTTAAAGGTAATTTCGAGATAAGGCATTAATCGCCCTGTTCGCTCTCTTTCCTCCGAAAGATCATTGTCTAGCAGTCTGCCATGTTTCCCTGCCTAATTGAGGTTTTGCCGACAAATCTCCAGCTTTCTTATCAAGAAGACGCGTTTCATACTGTTGTGTGAAAGATCGGGAAGAGCCGCGTCTTTTTGAATGAGCGCTTCGACCTTTTCACATTGTAATTGCATTAGGGTAGACATAAGTCTTAAAATTGCCTCCAGCTGCCCACATCGACTCATAATTTGTATCGCTGAAGAATAAGATTACTACCCACCCAACGACTGATATGTGAAGGAATATTGGTCTCTCTTTTCCGTCCATTCACGATAAGCAATCAGGAGTCATCAGAACTTGCACATTGACATTTTTCTCTTTACTTTTTGTGTTGAGACTTTGATCGTTGTTGTGCATAGGAAAGTTATGAGATGAAAAACAACACTTATAAATTCTTAGACGTTTCTCCTGTTCTTCTATGTCTCATGCACAGAAACGATTCATGACTGGTCACAAAACATAACTGCTACGTCAAGTGCTTCTCTTCAAGACCTGTTGGTGCCATCTGGTAGGCTTGTTGCAGTAATAACTGATTTAGGAAAGAATTTTGGTAATTAAATTTTCCAATGATAATTAATTGAACACAAAATCAGAACACTCGAGATATAGTTATCAGAGAAAGTTATATCAGGCAGGTTAACATATATCTAAAATGCTTCAAAACTATATTCAAGATTTGTCGTTATTTTATTGGGCGTCAACATTCTGTTAGGCTTTAAGTTGTCGTAGTGTGAATGCCTGCAATCTTCCGTGTATCGACCGGAACAAATTAAAACACTAGCTTTAAACAAGGGAGAAGTTGACATCGCGTCACCTTTTGTCGACTGTTATGCTCACTTTTAACGGGTGCATACGTTTTTTTTTCATTTTTTTGAAATTTCTGTTTTTGTTGTTTTTTTGTTTCGCCCGCAGTTGTTCCAGAGAAGCTTGTCGAACTTATCAGACGAGACTACAAAGGCGCGGTGCTGTGTCCCTTTCCATGGTGTGAAGATGAACTACAACTGAAGCTATCGAACATCTTTACAAGATTGCAGATAGTTAGTAGAACAAAAGAACGTTCAAAACTTACGCATTCCACCGTCAATATGACAGACGTGTTCAAGCCGCACCCAGAGTGTTACAATCCAAGAGTGGTGATGATCGAGGGGAATCCTGGGATGGGCAAAACTACGTATTGTCAAAAGCTGGCATATGATTGGTCCGTGGGGGAGATTCCACCTGACGCTTCGTTTCCTGAAGTGAAGATATTGCTCCTATTGAAGTGCCGTGACATGCACATGAAGACCGCTAACATCGAGGAAGCTATTGCTGATCAGCTTCTACCACATGATGCAAGCAAGAAGGAAAAGGAAGGCTTCTTTCACTTTATTCGCTCAAATCAGTCGAAAATATTACTGGTTCTCGATGGTTTTGACGAACTGCGCGAGGATCTGGTGCAGGGTTTTCTGCCTTTAATTCAAGGCAAAGTCTTTGCTAATGTGTACCTCATGTTAACAGCTCGACATGAAGCTGGAATGAAAGTGAGACGATATTGTGACACGCTTCTTGAAATTGTTGGCTACACCCAAGATGACGTTGAAAGTTACATAAAGAAGTATTTCAGCAGCCACGAGAATAAAAACCTTGCAGATAAAGTGATAGAACAGCTATGCCGAGACAAAAAGCTTCGAGAATTAACGGTTAATCCCCTTAATACTGCTTTGCTTTGTCTTCTCTGTGAAGAAACAGGAGGAGTGTTTCCTTCCAAAAAGAAAAAGTTGTACGATGGCCTTGTATCTTGCGCTCTAAGAACACATTTTGCAAAAAATTGTATTTTCTTGGGTGACGAAGATCCCATTGAACGATGTACGAATGAGCTGAATCTTTTGGGGAAAATGGCATTTGAGGCTCTGCTAAAAAATCAGTTGCATTTTAATGAAGACGAAATGAAATCCCAAACCAATGCGAATTTCTTACAGTTGCCGTTTCTGTCCCGTGAGCCAAGTGTGAGCAAAATCAAACCAACGCCATGCTTCGCGTTTACTCACAAAACATTTCAAGAATACTTGGCGGCGTTTTATTTGGCCCATCAGCTGTTATCAGGTGACAAAGAGAATGAGAGACTGTTGGATGAACTCAGTCCTATTGACAATTGGCAGGTGTGGGAATTTCTCATCTCACTGGTGTCAACCGAGAGTGGTGAAGTAGCGGTAAATGTTGTGTCTCGGCTTTGTGATTTCCTCCGGAGCAAGAAACTTCAAGGTGTGATCGATGCTGATGTGGATTTGGATGTTGAAGTATTTGAAGAGAAACCGCACGACTGGGCTAAATATTTAACAGAATGGAGCAAGGATGAAATACTGCTATGCCATGTCGTGAATAAAACACTTGGTGTCATTGCTGAGTGTGAAGAAGATGATAACGAACTAAAGGATTACCAGAAGGAAATGGTAAATGTACTGTCGCACTGCCTTCCTTTAAAGAAATTCGAACTTACACCAAGTACTGGTGCCTGCCGTGTGCACCGCCAGTTTCTAAACTCAAACGATACGTTGACAGATCTACTGCTGAACAGTGCGTTAGATCCGTTACTGTTAGCAACAATTAAACATGGTTCACATTCCAAGAACAACTTGGTTCATTTCAATTTAAGCAACGAAATGTATAGCTATTCTACGGTATCTTCACAGCGTGCGTCGTTTCATTCCTTCTCAAATCTTCATCAATCGTTTAAAGAGCTTCTCTTAGAGGCTGTCCAACCAAATAGTTTCCTCACGCATTTTAACCTTGACAGCATCTGGATCTCTATCAGTGGAGCCCGAGCAATTGCAGAGTTTCTTCAAACAAATCGTTCTTTGACTCATCTTAATCTGCGCAATGCCATGATCCGTGACGAAGGAGCCACAGCACTCGGGAACGCTCTTCAGTCGAACTGCACGTTGACGCATTTGAGTCTTCCGGAAAATTGGATCGGTGTTGTGGGAACTGAAGAATTAGCGACGAGTCTCCAGTCGAATTCTGCGTTAATATATTTAGACCTGAGTTACAATGTTGGCAGCGACGCAGTCGCCTCGGCGTTGTCCGAAGCTGTGGAATCCAACTGCGCACTCCAGTACTTGGATATAAGCCAAAGAGTGGGCAGCTCTAGAATGATTGGCCCCGAGGGAGGATCAGCCCTTGCAAGAGCTCTGCTATTTAATTGTAGACTGACTTATTTAAATCTATACCATAATGATATTGGTGACACAGGAGCGGCATCTCTTGGGGAGGCTCTTCAAACAAACAGCACTTTGACGGAATTAAACCTTGGGGATAACCAGATCGAAGATAGGGGAGCAGTAGCTCTTGGGAAGGCACTGCTTTCAAATCGCTCTTTGACCCATTTAAGACTAGATTGTAACGTCGATATCGGCTATTTGGGTGTGGCAGCCATTGCAAAGGCACTTCAATCAAATGATAGTCGATTAACCCAGTTAGATCTGGGTTTTAACTTCATCAGCTCCCAAGGTGCAACCGCTATTGCATCGGCTCTCCACACAAACAATTCCCTTACACATTTAGGTCTGTGGGATAATGGCATCACGTCTTCTGGTGCTGCCGCAATTGCTAAGGCACTACAATCAAACCGTACATTAACTCATGTGGATCTGAGAGAAAATGGTATTAGTGATTCAGGGGCGACAGAATTAGCACGCGTTATTGAGAATCATAACAACACTTTGGTCTATTTAGACCTTAGGGCTAACTATTCAATAGGTTCAGCAGGAAGAGAACGCCTTGAACATGTTGATCAGACGAAGTGTATCGTGAAGTACAAGGGTTGGCCGTAGATTATTAATCTCCAGGGAAATTTGCGAAATTGTTCATACTTCGGTTCTTTAACAGAGTCAGATTTATACGTATTGATATGTTTATACCATTGTAGAAGACACCGATCTTATTAACTGAACTAGCCTGTCAGTTATGGCGTGACAAAACACAACTTATAGAGCGGGCGCAGAATGAATGCACATATGAACTAGCGCTTTGAAGGATAACTATGATGTTCTAACAATATTACAATGTTGTACCTGGCTTTCGTAAGTAATTAAAATTGTTAAGTGAATTACATAAAGAAATAACAGCAACAACTAATTTACCCAGAGTAAAAGAATCATCAGGCAAACCAATGCAAAATAGCTCGATCAACAGGTATGGCAACCCAAATGGAACTCGAGGTTATTTTGGCGGGAAATCGCATAGCCACCAGCGTCTTGTAAAGTAGAGACAGCTTAAGAGTCAATAAAGACGAAAGCGAAAATTGTTTCTGTATCCGTGTTGTTTAAAGTATTAAGCGTAGATTAATTGTCATGTCTACAAATTTGGAATATACAGCAGGAGAGAGAGTAAGAAAAACAGATAGTAGGCGGTAGGCCAGCGAAGCTCATCGAGGAAAAGGGCGACTGAGATCTGGAACGAGAGATAAAAAAGGAGACACTTTTTTTGTTGGAAGAGCAACATTAAAATTTTGTAGCGGCGGTGACAAAATGAGAAATGCTAGTGGCCACCAATCAAATGCAAAGGTGAAAATGGGCGGCAGTGAATTAAAAGTGTAACTAAGAAGTTTCTGGAAGTTTCACGTTGTAGTCGTGCAAAACAACGGCAAAGAAATGTACAAAAAAAGTGTGCTGCACGAGCAAAGTTGCTTTTTTAACTTGTGGATTACGCGTAGCGTAAGGAACAAGTTATTGTGGGCACTGCGATATGCAAATATGTCACTTGGGTGTAGACACCGTTCGTAATTAGTCGGCCCCGCAGGAAAGCGCCCGATATCAACACGTGTGTGACTGAAGAGATCTTGTGGTGAGGGAGAATGTTTTGCAACGACGCGTTAGTAGACTTTTAAATTAACCTCCCTACGGCTACCCTGGTTCCAGAGGTCCGTTCTCAAAATACCTAATATGAAATATACCGTGCTTACGGTTTGATAAGGCTCCCGAGACGGACCTCTGGTGACACAAGCCCCCCCCGGGGGGGGGGGGGGGTACTTTAGGAATTTCTGGGTGGGGATGTGCCGCTGGGACCCTGGAACCCTTAGCCTATACCAGAGCTAGTTCAGCTGAATTTTGCTACCCTATACTAGAGTAAACTCCCCAAATCCCCCTATCCTAGAGTAGCTGTTTCCCCAGTCTAGATAAAATCTTCAACCAACTGATCAGTTTCCTGAAAAATGATACCCTATTCTAGACCCAAACGCTCTGATTTATATACCCTATCCTAGAGTAAACTGCTTGAAAACCATACCCTTCACAGCGGCACATACCTATATAGCCCATATATGGCAGTACCCCCCCCCCGGGAACACAAGCACGCAACCTCATTTCCATGCGAGAAATCAGTTCAGAATCTGAACTGGGTCACCGATTGGTTACTCTCACGTCCGCAGGGAACTCTCTCGGCGCTTCGCCCCTCGTTGACCCGGCTTCGCCGCGAACCATCAGAAATATCCTCTGGAAGCCAGGGTACACTACGGCCGACAAAATCAAACAAACAGGCGCTGCATGTTTAGAACAAGACGCTATGGAGTTTACACGGTGTCGTGGTTGTGGAAAATGATGAGGTGTCAACTTGTGAAATAATGGGATTAGAGGAATATCCCAAAGGCCTGCTTGCCAAAAACTAGCATTTCGGGTCAAAATTTAATTGTCTCTGAGATATTCAAACCCAGTTATGCTCGGATGACTCCATACAAATCCTTCTAAATTTGACTTTGGTCGAAACGCTTAGACCCAAGTCAAATATGAGGTTACTGGCGGTGAGTAACAAGTCAAACAAAACAAATAGTGAAAAGAAGAACTCCCATTTTTTTTACAACAGGCTTCAAAAACAGCATAACAGTCTCATATACTGATTACTCATGTACTGCGGTCAGAAGGTGATTATTATACATGCCAACTCTCCCGGATTATCCATGAGTCTCCGGCCCGGATACGGCACCGATCTCCCCCTCTCCTGTACAGGTCACCATATATCCCGGATAAAATCATCTTTTGAGCTTTTCTGTGCCTAGGTTTGAACTTTAGCCCATTTCTAGCTCAAAACGCGAATTTTTTCTTATTCGCAGTACGGTTTCTGGGGCATTTTTGCACGTATTTAGTCACTGGCAAAGATTATTTCTGGCATGAAAACGATGATTGCGATTTTTGATAGTATGTACTTCATGCAAGACTTAATTTAATGTCCTTAGTCATTACCATTGGGGGCTGGGTTAATTTGTCGTGGGGGAGGGCGTGAAATTTCGGGGGATAATGAAGAAAAGAGAAAAGAGAGTCTCCAGATTTTAGATCTCCAGAGGTTGGCACCTCCGTGATTATGTCGAAGTCCGGGGGGGGTACTCCCCTATAAAAGTGACAGGGGTGCTCGTCGTACCTTTTAGGGGTTTAAATTTGTGGATTGGTACCACTTAGGGTGTTAAAACCGAAAAGGACTGCTGCCAGAGTTGTCTCGGTAAGATTTATGACAATACTTTCAAAACGTTCTTGGGAAGAAAGTGTTCAAAAGCTATGTTTTCTACCATTAAAATTCGCAGTGCCCGTTATAAAATTTGTTGTTGCTGAATTGGTACCTCTTAGGGGTGGAAATGAATTTGGGACACGCCTACAAAACAAGATTCTAGTATCTTTTAGGAGTGTTGTCGAAATTTTCCGACGAGCACCACCGTCCCTTTTATAGGAGAGTACCCCCCGGGTCGAAGTCTACCGTCTTGTTAAGTTATTAGGGAGCTTAAGCAGCAGCGTTTTTGAGCGACGGACGTCAACAGGTAGTGGACTTTTTGCATCAATGGGGAGTGGTTTGGTTGAAACTCTCGGGTAAATTCTCTTTATAAGAGAAAAGAAACTTAGCAATCCAAATTTGTTAGTGTCAAGGCATATATATAGTGAGAAGGCCTCACTTCCGCTTGACGTCCGTCGCTCAAAAGCGTCTTTGCTTATCAAAGCTCCCTACATAGGTCAGGCAGACCACCCTCTGTTAGTGGGGGCCGTTGTTGATTGAAATCTGAGCATTGATCTTTTGTTATGTATAGAAGAAATATATATGAACAATACGGTGGCTATAATTTGTTCCAAAATGCAGAATTTAAAGCAAATTTCTCAATAAACGTTTAAAGAAAATGTTAACTGAGCCATGTGTCATATTTTTTTCGCCGTCCCGTTCTGTTTTAAGCGCTATTTTGCGAGATGAATATTTGACCTCGCCCGGGGGTACTCCCATACATTACATATACGGGTATGTGCCGCCCAAAGGGGTCGTGATTTTGAAGCTCCTGATTTAGAACGGGGTATCCATTTCAGAGGCGTTTTCTAGAACGGGGTATAATGTTTCGAACGCACGAAAGCTCCATTTTTGTTGGCAGCCATTTGAAATTATTCAAGGACAGATTGCTTTTAAAAATACGGTTCAATGCGTTAACAAGCAAACCGTTGTACTCTTGTTGCACCCTAGAACGGAGTATAAAAAATTGGCCCATTTCTAGAACGGGGTATCAATTTTAGGGGAAATTTTTTCCAGAACGGGGTGCCATTTTGGAGTCCCGGGCGGCACATACCCACCCAAAAAATACCCAAGTGCCCCCCCCGGGTGACCTCGGCGGTTAGAACTAGATAGAGAAAGAGACTCCTCGGGACGGCGAAAAAGATATAACACATGGCTCAGTTAACATTTTCTTCAAACGTTTATTGAAAATTTTGCTTTAAATCCTGCATTTTGGAACAAATTATAGCCACCGTATTGTTCATATATATTTCTTCTATAAATAACAAAAGATCGTTGCTCAGATCACAGGGAGCCCGCACAATCTGTTTGTGTGAGCCGATTGTTATTTTATAGTAAATGTTCTGGATTTACCGTTTGCCTCACCTATAGCGATATGTCGCTAACTATGTATATAAATCCATGATAAATAAACGTTGAATTACCTTACCTGTGGTATATAGTCGTCCTTTTACCTCAATAGCGGTTTTTTGAGCGATTTTGAAGGAGTTTGAATTCGCCGTTGACTGATTATAAGGAACAGTCAACGGCGAATTCAAACTCCTTCAAAATCGCTCACAAAACCGCTTTTGAGGTAAAAGGACGACTATATACCACAGGTAAGGTAATTCAACGTTTATTTATCATTGATTTATATACATAGTTAGCGATATATCGCTATAGGTGAAGCAAACGGTAAATCCAGTACATTTACTATAAAATAACAATCGGCTAAACAAACAGATTGTGTGGGGTCCCTGTGCTCAGATTTCAATCAACAACGCCCCTTACATAGGGTGGTCTGCCTGTGCATAGGTTAGCCTGTCTTCGTAATCGTTGGGTACTTGCCTTGTTTTATGTTATTGTATAGTAGTGTCTTTACTGTTATTTAGTCCATCTATAGGTAAACCTTGTACTTGTAATATGTCTTCATACTTAGACGAATTATCCGTCTGACGGATAACTCGGATCTAGTATAAATTCGGCCATCTAAGGTCTGAGTTTTGAGTGCGTTGTACTGTTGGAAGGCAGTTGGATCGTGACTCCGAATAGAGAACAGGGGCACTGGGACGAGAATGTGCTATACGCTCTTCCCAAGGCATGATGGACTACACAAGCCTGCGGCCGCCATGTTGTAGTGCGTAACCGATTTTGTCTCGTTTTTCTCGGTGAAGTTTAGCGCCTAAAATTAACTGGTCGATCTAAAAAACTTGCACACTGATACAATGGATGGGGAAGATTCGAAACCACAGGGTCAAAAGAAACAAAATAACGTCCTTCCCTTGTGGGGAAATGAAAAGACTATGAATCTCAACAGCATGGTTTTAACCAACATTTTGTCGTCTCCTTACTTCAAGAACGAATTGTTCAAACTGAAAACCTATCACGAAGTTGTTGATGAGATTTACTACAAGGTAAGAATGGAGGAATGTCAAAGAGGAATTGAGGGACACGACATTGGACTCCACATTCTAGACACGTAAGAACCACCATGCCAAGATCTGATAGCAGATAGCAGATAACAGTTTACAGTTCTTCGTTTTAAAGATCGAATCTTAAAATGTATCTTAACTATAATTTGAACCCTGGAGTAAAGAAGTAGTCTATTAAGAAAGATATATAAAGCTTGTGTGGCGTTTTCTCGTCAAGTGAAAAAATTCTTTTGGTAGATAGACCTATAAAAACTTAAAAAGTAAGATAAAAACAGGTTGGGATAACGTATGTCGGGATAAGTTTAATTTTATGATTATAAGCTTACATTAATTTTTTTATGTTGCCA